CTCTTTCCTTGATAGTAAGTTTTTTCCCCCTTTTGTCTGGTACAAGAGCTTCTATTTGATTGTTTTTGAATAGGCGCCGGCGAAGAGCCTCTTTCACATCTTTACGAGCCTTCCAATCTGGTAGCATAGTACCAAGCTCATCGGCATGAGCACGTAATTGAAGTGGGTTTGATTCGGCTGATAGGTTATATTTATTGAGGATCTGATCCAAAATGAAGGTAAAGCTATTAGTTTTGGGTTTTCTAGTTTTTCGGATAGTTGCCATGATAGGTATGTAAATATATATATCGATAAGTAGATTGTGATTATATATTAACCTACTTATTTTTTCAAATCAAAATTAATTATCTCGGGTCAAGTCTAGTACATCTACTAAACCCCTGCCTAAAAGATTACAATTGGTGGCAGTATCTAGTATAGTTTTAACTGGTACTTTGTTAATTTCGCAAGATAAAATTCTCATCGTGGTGTTTCATATCTAGTATTTATCTAAAAAATTAAATATGTCTCAGTTATTGTAATTCTGTCAGAAAATGGACGCGACTAAGACACGAGATTGATCAGGCACAAAGTGTTATTTCTTCTGAAATAAAGGTTTGAAATCCGTAGCCTTTTTTTTCCTCTTTGTCTCTCAGAAAAAAGATATATATGTATCAGTACATGCTGTCTATCTTTTTCTGGCTATGAGCAATTACTGCGAGAAGGCGGGAGGTCCTGGAAAAAATAATCGGTATATGACAAGCATATGATTATACTTCATGCATAGAATCGGGTAAGTCAGAAATATAATTCTTAAATATGGTAATTTGTGCACATAACTCATCCTGTTTTTTTCTGTGATAATTCTCTTTACTTTTATATTTGCCTACATGTTTATAGCATGCATTGTATTTAGACCTATTTGACTCACCACAATCTCTACAAGGAGTAGGTATTGGAGAATTACGATGAATATAACATCTTTCTGATTTACTACGTCGACCACAGATTTTTCCAGTTCTATGAATATATGAGCAATGGTATAATATCTTCTTTTGATTCTTTTCAAGCCCCATCGTGATTATATACAATAATTACTTTAATCAAATTTATATTTTTTCTTGACAAAAGTGATAGCAAATCTGAGATCAAAAATCCCACTTCGGAATAATTAATTTTATTTTAAAGATTTATCTATCAATTATTATAATTTCAAAAACATATACTTTTTGTCAGATCAAACAGCGCGTATATACAAATAACACATATACAAATCAATAAATGAGTTTGTCTAGTGAAGCAAAAAAACGGCTTTGTGAATCATTATTGCTGAGCAATGGCTCTTCGAGCCTACAACAGTGCTTAAATCAAAAGTTAACTGAATATAATGAAGCACTTTCTTGTTGTTCTGTTTGCACATATTCTATGAAAGATTCCCGACTTTCATATACCTCAAACCCACTTTCTTCAAACATGTTGCGAAACATTTGCCATACATCAATAGTCAATAATTTATTGCCGTACATGTGTTCATGAAAAATGTGTTTGCATGGCAGTAAGTATCGATGGTAAAATAAGCAGTGACAACTAAGAGATGTTAGGCCTGGCACATTTTTCCCTTTTTCAAGTCTATCCATCACAGCACGGGCCTCTTTGATCATTAGATGTTGGAAGGGAAAAGGAAACTTACAGACTTCTTCGAGAATATCATCATCGACGCCATACGCTGATACTTTCTTGATACGAAAGTCAAAGGAAGCTCTTTCAGCTTCAGATCGTTTTTTGCAGTCGACGTTGACGACTCCATGAACGGCACCTAAAATAATAAAAAAGGTGTCAAAAAAAGATTCAGGTTGGATTAGCAGGTAAAATAACCTGAGAAAATGACATACCTATCAGACCATGTAATGGCGATGTTAGTTTCTTTAATTCACTGTGGAATGACTCTAGCGGATTTGTTGACATGACTTGTAAAAGGAGGGGAGAGTGTTGACGAGCCCATAAGGCCCATTTGTTTGTATTTGTCGCATAATTTCTTCTAATATAGTTTTGTATTGTTGGGACAGGACAACGACTTATAGCGTCCCGAACAAGGTTTTCGCATCCGATCTTCGTTCTTTTGTGCATTGCTGCAATCATAATATCCCGAGTCTTTTTGTCATGAATTTTTCGCATCCATAAGCGCATAACGTGTACAACACAAAGGAGGATTTGGCATTCTTGCTCACCGGCAATTATACCAGGAAATGTCTTTTTAATGCTCTTTGCTTCGATGCTACTTTGATCTGAGAGTACATAACGGGGGGACCAATGGCAACACTTATTACGGATTATTCTTAATGCTTCTGTGACTGTATCCGCATCCTCAGTGCTCACAAAAAAATGAGCGCCCACATTCCAGCATCCGTAAGTATCACGAACATATAGAGTAAATAAACGCCAGTCATAACGGTTGGTCTTATGTGTCGA